AACCAAGTGTTTTTTTTTGTTTTTTTTTTATCAGCTTTAAAAGGTGTGCGAGTCATTTCCATTGTGCAATACGACAGGAAACATGTGTTAAATACAGAGTTTGCCCGGCTATGGCTAGGTGGTTAGGGTGCTCAACTCGCAATCTGAGGGTCGCGGGTTCGAATCCCCGTAACATCAAATATGCTCGCCCTTTCAGCCGTGGGGGCGTTATAATGTGACGGTCAATCCCACTATTCGTTGGTAAAAGAGTAGCCCAAGAGTTGGCGGTGGGTGGTGATGACTAGTTGCCTTCCCTCTAGTCTTACACTGCTAAATTAGGGACGGCTAGCGCAGATAGCCCTCGTGTAGCTTTGCGCTATTCATATGTGTACAACATGGCCCATAAATAGAGAGGTGTAGCCAGTACTACAGAGTGCGAGGGGTGTGGGTGTCTTGAAAATGTTTTGCTCAGAAGAAAATCTCAATTGATTTACCTCACCCTAATTGAAATTCGTGAGACGAGAGTATTCCCGCCCTTAGTTACGATTCAGGAGACATCTTGGTACCCCTTACAGAACGGTTAATCGGGCTGTAATATTCGTTATTGAATTCAAGGTCGTTTAAAGGACAAGACAACGATTGGCAAGGTCGCTTAGAGGCAAGAGAACGATTGGCAAGGTCGCTTAGAGGCAAGACAACGATTGGCAAGGTCTCTTAGAGGCAAGAGAACGATTGGCAAGGTCGCTTAGAGGCAAGACAACGATTGGCAAGGTCGCTTAGAGGCAAGACAACGATTGGCAAGGTCGCTTAGAGGCAAGACAACGATTGGCAAGGTCGCTTGGAGGCAAGACAACGATTGGCAAGGTCATTTACTACGAGATTCTAATGAACTGTAAAGTTTTATGGCAAATTTTAGAAACTCGTGTCCTTCATCGTGGGGCATATTAACGTGAATGTCCATAATACATCTTCCACGATATTCACAAAGTGAATCGTATCCTTTCTGTAAGAAGAGTCTCTTCTACGATGGTAAAAACAAACCAGAAAACATCTCATCAGCCATGTCTGTATAAGAAACTATAGGCTGGCCGGGATTAACAGATAAAAACGGACCTGTTACAGAGCCTGCTTCGGTGTCAACTACCGAAGGATTTTGTTCTGCTGGATTTATTATAACACTACTATCGTCAGATTTAAGAACTTTTTTTTTTGAGGAGTTCTTTATTTTTGGTTAAAATTATTGTGACGTTATTTGGAAGATTTTGAGGTTTGTATCGTATATTCTACAGTTCTGAATATAATTAAATGCGATTCTCTGTTTGGGGGGGGATTCGAGTGAGTGTTTCATGATGTCATCAACCGCAACAATGTAAATTAAACCGAGCAATTGAACAAAGCCGGTTCCAAAAAACAGGTGAAAATGAAATTGATAAAATTAATAAAATTTTTTTTCATAAAATTACAATTTGAAAAACTGTGAAATATCGTGATTTGTCAAATACCTGTACACAGTTTACGGACAGTATGAACACAAGTGTAAATGTAGACAATTATAGATACAATTTTACATGTAAACTATTATAACACAGAGTAGGAATCAGTTAAGTAAACTGGACTAGAATTTACTTATATGTGAAATGATATTTTCTTAGTGCAAACTACACGTTGGGATGCCCCCCCTCCCCCAGTGGCACAGGTATGTCTGCGGACTTACAACGCTAAAAACCGGGTTTCGAAACCCGTGATGGGAAGAGCACAGATAGACCATTGTGTAGATTTCTGCATAACTGCAAACAAACAAATACATTGGGCTACCGGCACTCTGTTCACTGCGGGGGGAATCGAACCCCAGATTTTCACGTTTTAAGTCCGTAAACTTACCGTTGACCCTTCGGGGGGGGGGGGTATGTTTGGCTAACAAATGGAAAAATTCTTAAAACATTCTAGACAAGATACAGAAATAGAATACATACTACATACGGTAGTTAAGATTGTGATCCAAAAATTAGATTATTACATATTTATGTAATACGTTGTTAACAGTTGTGTTTAACATAACGTGAACAGATCTTTGAAACATGACATTTTTTACTGATTGAATAGACAAACGTTCATTTTACTTCTCTAGATGAAATGGAAAACGATCATTACATGTTAAACAAACAAACCAAAATGTATAATTACATACCAGCTTTTATTGCCTAAGTTGGGGGAACTTTAAAATGGGATGATGGTAACACTAACAGTTAAATGTTTCTACGTATACTACAAATAAGTAAAAATAAAATATAGACGTACGTTTACAAGAACTCTGACGATGTTAAGTAAATAAAAATAAAAATTACCCGATATTAAAATACCTTTAATCTTAACACTAATTTCTTTTTTTCTTTTTTTTTGAAGTGTTCTAGCGTCATCACTAAGTTATCTAGAAGTCCCGTTGCACGGAAAGACTATAGTACTAAGATCATTAAAACCACTATGTATTTATACTACTGCTAAAAACATAAGAATGACTGCATTGAATGAGCTAATTTGAATTTCATTGTTATCCTTAACTAAAGTAACCGGTACGTTGTGGCCCAGAGATACAGTTTCATATAATTCTGTATTTACAAAAGGAGACATTTAAAGTTCCCATTGATAACGGAGGTATTTACTAATTGTTAAACCAAAATGTTCAATCGATCCGATCTCTCAAACGTAGTTTTATTGGTTCATCGGGAGTCGTTATCATCCTCATGATGATCCCTACGTCTCTCATATTAGCGTCTTCCAGATGGAATGCCTGGACTGTCTGTACAGAGAAATTACATAAGAAAGATTTAATCAGCTACAGTTGCAATAAGCCTAATTAGTTGGAAAAGACGTTATTGTCGAAATATTGGTTTGTAGAAGTTGCCTCCAACAACTGTATATCACACAGAGTAACACTTTTATCGCTACTGTTTCAAAGTACGATGCCTAAATGTTGTTCAAAAAAAAAAAAGCCAACTTCAAATAATAATCGTTCTGAAAAAGAATTGTTCTTTCGGTTCCATTTGTATTTTATGATATAAAAGTTCAAAAAAAATTATTGAATTTATTTCAACCTAAATAGCATCTTATACCGGGCTATATGGCTGGGACGGATACAGCAAGATTCACGCTTAACCGTTCTTCTAATTTAAAGCTGCTGCCCACAGGGAAAACAGCCAATCAACAATAGCCGCTACTTATATCTCTTAACCAAATACCAAGACTGATTGTCGCCTTTTTAACGCGCTCCACAGCCGAAAGTGCAAAGTCTGTTCAACAGGATATCATTGTATTTGTAGCTTGGTCCTTACGACCCCAAGCCCGGCACGTTAACCATTAGATCACGCCAGGCAACGTTATTTAATAAGTGATTTGTTGACAGCAAGAATTATTTAATAAATATCCGTGATTTTGATATATACTTCATTTACCTGTAATCTCACGGATAAATACATACCGAGTTCTTCTTACCCGGGTAAAATTGTGTAAATAAATAAACCGAGAATAAAAAAATTAGCAAATAGGCCTAACTTACGAGAATAAAAAATTAGCAAATAGGCCTAACTTACGAGAATAAAAAAAAATAGCAAATAGGCCTAACTTACTCTTGCCAGAAGAAGTTCCATTTGAATCTCTGCTACTCGACGTCCTATACACGATCGAGGACCGTAGCCGAAAGGTAGGGACGCAAAGGTACTGATGACGTCATGAATGTCCCGATTGCGTAGCCACCTATCAGGCACGAATTGATTAGGGTTTGGAAAATATTTAGGATCTCTTCCTGTTGTGTACAGCGACATGAGAATTAGCTTCTGAAATATTTTAATAATAAAAAAAAAAGATATATTTGTGCGGTCGAAAAAATAAATACCTCATACAACCAACCTTCACCCTCCGTGCATCAAGATAAAACAACACGTAAGAGAAAAAACAAACAAACAATATAACACAAAAAACCTTTTGCGCAATTAGATAAACTAGTACATCATGAAATACCAAATACAGCAACGTGTTGCGACACATGTTACATTAACAATACACGACATAGACCCCCTTTACGACAAAGTCAATCAAAACGTTATAAAATACAATAACACACATACAATACTTTTGTGCGACCAGATATTGAAACATGTTATGAAACACAATAGCTAACAGTGTAAAAATTTGCGTGTCTAAATAATGCAACCTGCCACAAATACAACTTAAGTCTTTGTACACAGAGGTTTACCTGCTACAAAAAACAAATTCGTTTGGTGTAACGTCATAATATTAACATCCACGTTTACGTATCAATGAAACCTCACGACAACAAAGATTGCTATAATAGGTGTAAAACATATTTTATGTATGAATGCATAATAATTTACTATGAAAACAAATAAAGCTAAAGTAAAATAATCTTGGACAGAAACAAACTGTTATGGAAACCTTGAAACAACTTACTCCCGCTGGTATTTCGTAGCCATTCAGAACGACATCTTGCGACAGAGTCCGCGTTAGGAAGGGGGCCACCGGATATAATCTATACAAAAAATGCATACGTTGTTAGAAAAAAATAACATAACTTGCAAATGTTTTATCACAACCACGAGTATCATAATATTCTCACGTGCTACAAAGCGTTTCTAAAAAGACAGCCAAATAAAACAATTAATTCAGAAAATAATAATAATAAAACTGTTTTCAGCCGAGCGCAACAAAAACTAGCGATACTATTGGCCGAAACGTTGTAATTAAGCCGTTGTAAAAGCTGCTGTTGTATTTTTGAATTAATTAATCGCCCTCCCCTTTATTAGAAAGTGATTTCCAACTTTGTAAGCAACTGAATATAATATTTTTAAATATGTGACAGAAATCGAGCATAGAAAAATTTAGATCAAATAAGAAAGAAAATCGAAAAGCCATTATCAGAATCCTTAGAGTAACCTATGACACAAATCAAGCTAAGAAAAACGTTTAGTCATCTAAAGAAAAAAAACAATAACGCCAAAATTACTCTAGTAATTTGTAACAAAAATTTATCTTAAAAGAAATTCAGCTTTACATAAAAATTAGATTAAAAAAATTCTTAATAATGAAAAAAATATTCATGTCCTTAAAATATAAAAATATTTTTGCGCGATAACAATTAGGGGTAGAGAAGCCATTTTGAATCAATCTAAAGCGAAAAAAAGAAAAGTTATTGAAGTAAATACCGGAGAGTCTCCTTGATGACTGCTTTCAGAAAACGAAGATTTTGGAGATGATATTCTCCAACGACTTCTCCAGAAGGAACTACTCCGTTCAGTTCTTCTACAAGTCTTTCCTGGAACTTGGGATTTTTTGCCAGCATATAGAGTGCCCATTGTGTGGCATGCGACGTCTACGAAAATAAAATGAAACTTAATTAGAATGTTTCAAAAAGTATATTATAAAAAAACATAAAAGAAAATAACGACTACCTTTTTTTTTTTTGGAGAAAGATCGATTGCTATTGGATGACTTGAAAATTTTGTTTTTAATTTCCCAGAATGTACAGTTGGGGGGGGATAACAAATATAATATTCTTTATTAAAAAATTGTTTACTCAAAATTATAAACTAGCTAAGAGTACATTACAAACTGATGTAAATACTGTTTTAATATTAAAAAAAGTCAGAAAATCAACCACTCATTTCTTTCATCTAACATTGTGACAAATTAAGAAAATTGTAAAAACAAAGTTTAATATTTTGTTAAAAATAAAACACCGCCATCTCCAGGATGTAATCTAGTTGCAGAAGATATAACGTTATTAAAACTCCAATATTCGCTACAAACATTAAAGTTTAATGGTATTTATTATTTCTAATAATAATTGAGCCATGCCACACCAAGTTTGACATGCGCTACCAGTAATTTGGACGTATTTTAAAGAATCAGGTAATAAAAAAAAAGTATACCTTACCTTACGAAAACTACGTTAATTTTATAACCTTTTAAATGTGATCACGATAAAACACTCATTTCCTCTAGTTTTTGCTGTTTTGTGTTTGAAGTTAAGCCCAAAGATACACAATGGACTGTGCTCTAACCATTACGGGTATCGAAACCCGGTTCCTAGCGTTGTAAGTCCGCATAAATACCGCTGTTTTTGTTGTTGTTGTTGTTTTAGTTTGTCGATAACTGCGCAAGGCTACTCAAGAGTTACCTGTGCTAACCGTCCATTATTTTAAACTGATAAATAGAGGGGAAAGCACCTAGTGAAAATAACCGAAAGTCAGATCTTAGGTTAATCTTTGTCTGACGGAATACTGGAATTCAACTGTCACACTTGTAACGCACAAACGGCATGAAAGTGCGTGGCCAGGTGGTTAGGGCGCTTGAGTTGCAGTCTGCGGGTGGCAGGTTCGAATTTCCGTCCCACCAAACATGCTCGCCATTTCAGCCGTGGGGGGCGTTATAATGTGACGGTCAACCAAAAGAGTAGCCCAAGTGTTGGCGGTGAATGGTGATGACTAGCTGCCTTTCCTCTGGTCTTTCACTGCTAAATTAGGGACGGTTAGCGCAGATAGCCATCGTGTAGTTTTGCGCGAAATTCAAAAACAAACAATTATTGTTTTCGTAGTAACGGGACATGAACATTGAACCCGCATATGATTAGTCCGGCACGCTAACCACTGGTCCATACTATTTTGATGAAATACTTTGATTAATACATAACAGTAAATAGTTAATCGTTAATCATATTTGAAGTCCCTTAATCTTTCATTGCACAATGACAAAAAAGTTATTAAAACAAGGACTGGTATTGATTTCGGTTTCACCTCGTTGGCTAAATGGCACCGAGAATGAATAAAACAAACAATATTAACTTGAAAGTTATTCGAATTGAGGGTTGCCTAGCAACCATTGACGCAAATAGTTTTTGTTTCTCTCTTGAAGTTAGTGGAGTTTGCAAGAATAACCTGAAAACATTCACGTTAAGAGACTTCATAATAACGAGCAGCATTATATGGACCATTTAATATACGTTAGAGCACCACACATTACTTCTTCACTGAATCAGCAATTATTAAACAAATATTAGGATTATAGTGTTGTTTTTTTTATTTTCAAAATTTTCGTTCTCTTTTGGACCGAATGCATATTTAATTCAGTGTATAGCTTTGTACTAAACGACCAAAATTAACAAGTTTAAACAAGTCCCTCGGTAGAACAGCTATAACTTTGCGGGCTTACAACGCTAAAAATCTGGGGTTCGATATCCCGTTTGTTTGTTTTGAATTTCGCGCAAAGCTACACGAGGGCTATCTGCGCTAGCCGTCCCTAATTTAACAGTGCAAGACTAGAGGGAAGGCAGCTAGTCATCACCACCCACCGCCAACTCTTGGGCTACTCTTACGAACGAATAGTAGGATTGACCGTCACATTATAACGCCACCACGGCTGAAATTGTTTGGTGGGACTGGGATTCGAACCCAGGACCCGCAGATTGCGAGTCGAGCTCCCTAACCACTCGATATCCCGTGTTGGACAGAGTTCAAATAGCCCATTGTGTTACATAGCGCTAAGAAAAACATCCATTGTAAACTACATTGCAATGGCGACAAAAAAAATACCCAAACAAAAGTTCAACCGAAGACTGTTTTAAATCTTTATTTTTTTATTATTAAAATTAAAAACACAATTTTATTGTATTTCAAGAAAATATATTCATATTTACCGTGTCAGCTGCAGCAAGAAAAAGATCCGCAACGATTCGAACGACTTCTTCCTCATCCAAGTTGTCGTGAAATAACAACTGGCTGAGGGCGCCCTCTATCGGTTGTCCCATTTCGGATTTGGAAGAGAGTTCTTTAATATTATCTTTCACGTACGATCTTGCTGTATACATAATTTCGATATTCGTAAACAAAACGTTTTGCGCATTTCAAAAGTTTACTTAAAAACAGAAAATAGATAACGTTAATACAAACAAACAAACAGATACCATAAGACATTTCAATACTAGAATACTGGACGTTTCAATCTACAGCGTTTTTTGAAGCTTTGTGTTTTATTTGTAAAGCGAAACGCCGAGATTCCAATTAAAGAAAAACAACAGTTTCGTGCTACAAGGTCGTTTATTTCCACTATTCAAATGTCTTCCACACACCAATATGCATTAAATAATGGCTATAAGAAGTGGTTAGAATAATATTTTCATTGAATTAGTATACACAGAAATTCCATCGTACATAAAATGTTTCATATTTAAACTTATTACAACAGAATATTATTTTTCAAAACTAATCACGACCAAAACTGTGCCTTTAGCAAGTACTTTCAAACTTCTATTGCAATCCAAATATAATTTCACATCATTGTTTTAGTAGAAAGTTAAAGAAACTTACACGTGACAACTTTCTAGAAGAATCAAACCATCACCCGTAGATGTAATCTAATTATTTACGTTGCGTTGTAGCCGATTTTATTAACAACTTTCTAGAAGAATTAAACCATCACCAGTAGATGTAATATAATTATTTACGTTGCGTTGTAGCCGATTTTATTAACAACTTTCTAGAAGAATTAAACCATCACCAGTAGATGTAATATAATTATTTACGTTGCGTTGTAGCCGATTTTATTAACAACTTTCTAGAAGAATTAAACCATCACCAGTAGATGTAATATAATTATTTACGTTGCGTTGCATCCGATTTTATTTGTCTTTTCATATAAACAAATGTCCATTTTTTTCATCGCGTACAAAACGTCACGTGTACTTTTACATAAGTGAATCATTTTTTATTGAAATCGGGTCACATTTTGTTAATGCTTAAAATGTT